TCTTAAAAAATCCTTGCCAAAGATATCATTTCCCCAAAAAATAGTTTTCTATCTCTCCAAAAAAAAATTCAACTTCCCATAATAATTTAGTTTTTTTTACTCTAACATTATTTTCAATTAAAAATAATTTAAGATTTCAATATCAAATTTCAAAATACCAAATGTTAAAAAGAACATAATTTATATTGTAAAGTACATATAGTTAATACCTAAATAACACACTAATCAAACTCAAAGAATGTGCGATAATAAAAGTAATTTAAATATGACATGATAATAAAAAATAGAATTTGGGCGTCACTACGACCTTAAAGAACATACACGCCAAATTCAAAGAACATACTTTGTATTATTAAACCCAAAAAAAAAATATGTTTATCAACATATGTTAAATAACATAAGTTATAATGTAAAGAACATATAATTTTACTCAAAGAACACACTGATCACACTCAAATAACATATTAAAGGTATGTTCTTTGTCAAACATAGGTATGTTCTTTATCAAACACTATATGTTCTTTCCGCTTTTTTTGTTTACCCGGGTGCACCATGAGCATGGTGCACCCGGATGTATTATCTAATTTTAAATTTTATTTATGGCGTTGAGACTATTTATGTATATATTTATAATCCTTATTTTCTTTTGACAGGAATCCTAATTGTATTGTACTTTGTACTACCAGTTTTTTTTTTTGAAACAACTCAACTTGTGGCAAACGCTTTAATTTTTTTTTTTAGAAAGAAGATAAACTTTGGGATTTCTGTTCAAAGATACTCCATATAATATTAGTATGTAGCACTTGTTTTATTATTATTAAACTAATTTTAATTTGTACCTAAGCGATATCCGATTTTTAAATTTTAAGATAAATTTTTTATCTATTTTTATCTATACATGCCAAATTTAAATTATGTAATAGTACTATAGTAGTCTAGTACTCATGTAATGTTTTAGCAAATTATCACTATTTTTTTTTTCTTCTTATGTAGCACTTTTTTTTTGAACGGTTCTTATGTAGCACTTGTTTATTATTACTCTATATTATTATTATTATTGATGAGAATGTTTGATTAAAAAATTATATATATTTTTTAGCAAAGTCAACTTCAAACATTAGAAATTTCTAAAAATTAGTCAAAAATAGATAATATTGACCCAAACCCTAAACTTTAGGCTAGGGTTGTGCATTTTTTGACCCGTGACCCGATCCGAAATGACTCATGACCAGACCTAATTTATAGGTTTACATACAGTACCCTAAAACATCATATTAGATTGTGAAGTATTTTATTTCAATTAATTAAAGTTTGTTCACTTTTACTAAACTGAGCTAAAGTGAAGTGAATTGAACTAATTGGAGCTGAACCGAACTAAGTTGAGATGGATATTTTATGAGAGAAGGAGCTGAACTGAACTGATTGGAGCTAAACTGAACTGAAATTAAGTAAATGTGAACAGACCCTTAGAATATATTGTACATGAATGTTACGAAGTATATGTTTTGAACTATTTCCTTCGCTTAAAAATTAAGGTATAAAAAATAAATTTATATGATAGTTATTGATAATCTAATACGAAGTATATTTTTGAATAAAACTATAATTTAATTTGTTCATATGAAATATTGGTATTTTATTGAAAATAAAACTTTGAAGCAACATTTTTATCTTACATTGAAAATAAAATTATAAACTATCTTTTTATCCTAAAAAATATATCTAAATTTATCCAACTTTTTTTTTTTATTCATAAAATATATTCAAATAAATCCTACCTGGCTAAAAGTTTTAGTTTTATGTACTATTAGTTATATGATTGATTTTTCCATTTAAGGTCTTGAAATTATGCTTCTTATTATCTTGTTTTCTTTTTGTACATGCTATTTGTAATTGAAATGGCTAGTTTAGTATTGTATTATATAGTTGTAGAAATTAAAATTAACAAAGTTTATAAATGGGTAGCGGGTTTTGCTAGGTTTCTTAAGTATCAACCATTAATCAAGGGGATGTGGTGGGTCGTCGGTCAAGGTGGTGGTGGTCGTTGCTAGTTAGAAGGGTTAATGGGTTGCCGGGGAGATAAGGGGTGGTGAAATAGTAAGGGCATGATTGTCTATACACCAAATGTTGGTATTGGTAATCATTTTTTATGGCGGTATTTAGCATTCCACAAAACAAAACCCTCTCATACTAATCCCCTACGGCTCCACCCCATCCCATTGGCCACCGCTTGCCCAACATCATCATAGGTACACATTTTAACAGACATCATGATAAACTCAATAATCGAGACTCGAAACTCTGGGCAAGTGAGCACATTACTGCCTGGCCTGTAATTTTTTTAATTCTTATCATAAGAACACTTGCAATTAATTATTACGGAGTAATTCTTATCATATTCAATCAATCAAAGCCTTAATCCCAAAAGTGAGGTCGGCTAAATAATAGAGTATCTTAGTAATATCTTATTAATTGGCTTATTTGCTATATTGTTAATCCTTGTGGCTCAAGGCAATAGCTTGTATAAAGCTCGTATGATGGTGAATGAATAAACAAAGCTTTGATTTGCAATTATCTTATCATTAATTCTTATCATATTAATTGTAAATTTTTGAACCACATAAAAGAGACAGGCAACATTATGTTAAAATCAAACAACTTTCAATTGAATAAAGCACTCTCTTGAATTACAAAGAAATCCAACAATTATATGGTTAATTTCTAAATTGACTACGACAACAGTAATAAACAACAATAATAACAGCATATAGTTTAGAAAGGGCTTTGGAAACTTGTTAATAAAAGATGTTGACGAGAGCAAAACCATATCTATAATTGGACGACGACGGAAGTTGAAATCTCCAAACATGCATGATATTATGAGGCCGAATATCAGGATTCCTCTCCAATACTTGATTCCATCCAGTTTTTAATGCATAACTACTAGGCTTTTCCCACTTAGTCAAAGTAAGCATAGAAACACCAAGATTGGGTTCTATCACCATCACAGGAACATCTATACAATTTTCAAAGTGTGCTTTACATTTACTCAAGGGCATTGACAAACGATTCATGTTAGGATTCATGTCGGTGTTGGTTATTTCTTTTAATAACACAAACTCCGGGTTCGACCCTCCAACTTCTTGTATCCTTCGCAAGAACATCTCCGGTGGTACCAACGGCGGCTCTTGTGGTAGTACTGCTGCTCGTTGTTTGGAAGTCGAAGGAGTTGAGTTAGGAATGTAGGCGTCGACATCGATAGGAGAACAACGGCGTTTATTAGTACTTTGTTGTTTGGATGTCGAAGGAGCTGAGTTGAGATCAAAAGGGAGAACACGTTTTTCTTGCATTGGAATATCAATTCGGTGTTCTTCAACAACTTTACAATTATTGACTGCTTTCTTCTCTTTCTCGGATGCTTTTTCGGCAACAACAAGTAGCATCTCGAAAGGAGAAAGATTGCTGATGTTGATCAGACCTTCGAAATCTTTCTTGCTTACAATCTCCATTACTGCTACTTTTCTCAAAAAAAATCACTCAAATTTCTTAATTTATGAAACCTCTGTTTTTGTTTTTCTGATGGCAGAGAAGAAAGTGAATAGTTGATTGATTATAAAGAGGAAATAGACGGCGGTGCTTTTTTTTTTTTTCCCGTGTAATTTTAATGATAATTTTTTGTTGGACCAATGGTGAAGATTTAGGAAGATTTTGTATATTTGGAAAAAGATTATTTGGTTTGATGATAACAGCTATAAGATGACATTTTAATGAAGTAAAGATTTTATAAGGTTTTTTTTTTTTTTTTTTTTTTTTTTTTTTTTTTAATGAAGTAAGGAAATTATATGATTTTTTTTTGAGGTGAAAAGATTTTTGTTGTAGGTGATTTTTTTTTCTTTTCTTTTTTACCGACTGTCTAATTAATTGCCAGTTTTTTTTAATTTAATTTAATTTAATTTATTTTTAGTTATAAAAATTAGAATTTTATTTTTATTTTTATTGGTGCATAGAATTTGTTAATGACTACAATTTTCTTTAAAAAAAATGAAAAGGTTAAAAGATTTTTGTTTTGTTTTAATGATGTGAAGATTTTATTTTGTAGGTAAAAAGATTTATTTTACCCGACGGTATAAAGTACTTACACATAATTAAATGTAGCTATGTTCATCGAGCTAACAATACATTAGCAAATTTGTAACTAGAAACAATTATGCTAGTTAGTCCATATTTGTATAGTTTGACAATTTTCCAAAAGCTTTGGTAGAACTCTAAAAAATACGAGTCTTTTTTATTATGTTTTTACTTATTCTTATAGAATTAGTTAATTTTACGAGTACATTTTATTATTTTTGCAAAATAGAGTAATTACTAACTTACTTTGTTTTAAAAAAATTACTCTGTATTAGTTTTAGGCAAGGTTTTGGAACTCTCCAACGTATAGGGGTGTCCGTTCGGTTTTCGGTTTGGATTTAGTTCAAATCCGATCCAATCCGAAATATAATTCGGTTTTCAATTTTCCAATCCGATCCGATCCGAATTTCTCTCTTGATCCAATCCGAATTAAAATTCGGTTATTTGGATCCGATCCGAAAATCCAAATTATAATACATTATTTTTTTAGCGCCTAATACAATTATAAAAATAAAGCTTTACTATAAATAAAAGTCTTCAAAATCATGATTAAAATACACAATTCAACGTTAAGTCATTAAATTAATTAATACAAAGTCTCTCTAATTTATTTTATGTAGTATTATGTATTTGAGCTAAACTTCAAAATATACATAATATACAAGCTTAATTTTACAATTCGGTTTTTGGTTTGGATTGGATCCAATTAGGGTCAATCCGATCCAATCCGAAAATCCGAATTTCCAAAAAATCTCAATCCGATCCGATCCGATTTAAAGTTCGGATCCGATCCGAATTGATAATTCGATTTGGATTAGATTGAATTTCGGTTTTTATCCGAATTATGGACACCCCTACCAACGTAACACAAATTTCAAACATGGCTTCTAACCGGAAAGTTCCACGAGCCGGACTTTGGTCGAACCTCTCACCGGAAACGCTCTGCAACATCGGAAAATGCCTTGAAAGCTGAATTGACGTTTTCCGATGTCGTTCCGTTTGCCGTAATTGGCGAGCTTCAATAAACCCTAAACCTAACCCTAGCTATTTATCCCCCTTTCTTCCTCGCAAAATCTCAAATTCCACTCTTCCATTCATCAATCGCTCTAATGAAACCCTAATTCTCTTCGCCCGAATTGTATTTCTTGTTCAACCGATTTCCTATTCAAGTGACCGCAGCAGTTGGATTTTAACTGTGGAGGAAGTTGTACCAGGTAAGCTTCGAATCATAAACCCGCTTTCTAAGGATCCTGTTAAGAATTTACCTTCGAATTTCCCCAAATATCTGAACTTATTGGATTTTAGAGTGACTGAAATTGCTAAAAGTTATGGGTTTAAGTATGCAAGTGATTGGAATGATGTAAATGATGTTCATGTGGTTTTGTGTTCTGATTCGACTGCTATGGTGTTGTATGGTGAAGGGACTCTAATTGGGGTGAGGTTGAGAAATGGGAATTGGGGATTTGTTTGCGAAAGTTTGATTACTAGATTTTCTGATGTGATTAGTTTTAAGGGAAGTGTTTGTGCTGTTGATTTCAAAGGGAATTTGCATTCTGTTGATTACAAAACATTGAAGGTTAATAAGACGGTTACTGTGAAATTGCCCGGTCCTGATTCATGGAATCGGAAAAGATTGGTGGCAAATGAGGGGAAACTCTGGTTAGTAACTTAATAGGTCTTGTAATGGTGATGATGAAAAGAATTCTATGTTGGAAAAGAATCAATTTAAGGTATACCGTGTGGGCGAGTTGCATAAAGAATCGGTGATGGAAACAAGTTTGCGAGGTTGGTCACTTTTTGTTAGTCTACATTGGTGCTTTATTGTCTGTGCTCAAGATCTTAATATACGGGAGTATCTATTTCGAGGAGAGCCAGCAGTGAATGTGTTCTCTTATAAGCCGAAATACTCTTATTTTCTGAAATGAGCTGAAATGGTATGAAATGAATGGGGATTACCTTGTTTTCTCACAAAATTGCTTTGAATCCTCTGCTGCGCCTCTGCTGCACAGTCTCCAGGTGTTTAAAGAAGCAAGTGTAAATCTTCCTATTGGTGTTTTCTATTTTAGAATGGAGGATACAGATAGGATCGAATCAGTTTGTGGTACCATTGCTGGAGCGCTATGGCCACCCCCTACCTGGTTCTTGCCAGATTTGTACACTTCAAGTGGGTAACTTTTCCTTAAATGATGATTCTCAATGTCAATATGATTTTCTTGCTGTTTGCTTACATGCTATAAAAGATCATAGAATTATGTATTTTACTTGTCTATTACCTTGGTACTAAACCTTTCATTCCGAGCATACTACACTAATCTGCACTTGTGCTGCTGATGTATAAGTATTTGATTGATGTCAATGTGCTTGTAGATACAAGTAGTTTGTTACTGCTGTTTGAATATGCTATGCTATTATTGTTGCCTATAGCTTTGACATTGATCTCAGAGTTAATTGGTGCTACAAATTGTTGTAGTACCTCATGCTGTGTTTACTGGGTGTTCTGTTTCAGACCTCGATCCAAATGTGTCTGATGCTTAAATCAGGAGTTTGTGGGGGATAGGTGGAAAAGAGCTAAACAGAGTAGGAGGAAAAGCTTTTAGTATTTAGGGCAGTCAATACTCAATAATGTTTAAGTATAGAAGAGGGGCACATACTCAGCTTTTGGTTGGTTATAGGCACAGGTACTTGGTGGATTACATTCATTTCTAAGATTACTAACAAACAATGCAATTTATAAGGATATCATAGTTTTAAGTTTGTACTTTGTACATAGTAGAGTTCATATATCAGAGGAAAGTGTACCTTTTTTCATGGCACTGACAGCCGGCAGGGCACTCAATTTCAAATTTTCAGACTATACTTTTGTCTTTTGTCCTCCTTACTAATACTTTCTACCCTCATATCCCTAAGGGATAGACCGGGACCAGTTGATCAGACATATTTTAAATCTTCTATACCCTTCCTCCAGCCTCCACATGCGTGGCATGTTTGATTGGATTATTATGTTTTGTTCCTTTGATTGAACACTCTTGTTAAGTGACATTGTGATCCTATGCACATTCTCCAAGCAATAATGATGCTCTGCTTACTGCTTTTTATTTTGTAATTGGAAAAACACTAATCAGTTTTATGGAAGGGATTGAGTCCTCAATTTGCTTTCTGTTTAAGTAGGGATCATGAGGAGAATGAAGGATCGGATTCCTGGGTCCTAGATGTTTCAACTGACGACATCAAGGGAGAATTGCTCACGTCTTTGACTGTTGCCCCTTTTACTGATGCTGGAAATAGTAACAAACAAGGTAATCCTTTTTATGATTTATATATCAGGTTTATTGCTTGTATGTTATTCTTGTATTGAATCTCTGTTTCTTGCTCCAGACCAAATGCTACGGGTATAAATTTGCATACAGCTCTTGGGGATTTCCATGCTTTGAGAATATAGGTATGGGGTATGGCTCAAAATTCTCATGCTTCTCCCGTTTGTCTAATTTAGTTTCCAATTTTGAAAAGGGGGTTCATTAGCTTGTGCTCTGCATATTTTTATAAGAAATAAATCGATAAATTTTCATGTTTCTTTTCTAGCTTACTCATTGGTGGATAAATGGGTCTTCATTATATTTTTATAGTTGTTCACTTTTGTATTCCCTTTTCAATTTTTGGTGGATTAAGAGAGTACTTTAGCAGAAGTACAGATTAATCTTGGGCTTGGATTGTTATTTTCCTCTTAGGAATTGGGGGGGTGGGCTCTTAAAAATTGTGAATTACTTAGGCGTCTTTTTTTTCTTGATGTAAATTTTGGCTGCATTTAATCTTTTGATAGTATGAATGACTTTATATTTTGCTCCTTGCAGTACAAATGTGATCTTATCAACATGAGCTATGGTGAAGCTTCCTACCTTTTGTCTGGTTTTCTATGTCAAGGGAGTACAATTGGCAGTAATGACATGATAGTTAGGGCCTTAGAGTCAATAGCAACAGTAGTGATTATCCTCCAAAGTGGCTCAGGACAATTGTTGAATGAATCCAAGCTGAGTTCTTGAGCTCTACATTTTCTGACTTTTAAAACATGCATTTTGAATTGGTGGTTGGTACCGTTTGTTGAAAAGGCTTTGGTTGTTCATAAGAGCTCTCTGAAGGAATTTGATTAGGCCTAAACACTAGCTGAGGAATGAAACTGATGGTTCTTGCTGAATTACCCAAACTGGATGAAGTAAAGAAAGACATGAAATCTGTTTTTGTAATCTGATGGTCCTAGTTTGGACTCTGTTGATCTTAGCCTAAGTTTTATTTTTGAAACATTTAGGAGAGGGATATGTTAACTTATTGGTGACTTGATCTGTAATCTTGAATGTTGGAGTTATGAGGAAATTGTTACTTTTATGTATGCCTGTTTTTACCCTTTATGGTACATACAATTTTGATTGAAAATTTCAGAGAACTAATTGCCTAAAATTGCTACACTCGAAAGTGGTAGTCAATGAGATGAAATCCCTAAGAAGTGAATAATTTAACTTTTACCCAATTGGTATGCAGGGAATTGTTTGAGAAAGAGCAGAGAATGCCTGCTTTTGTGGGGAGGGTTCATGTCATATTGGTATGGAGGCAGGGGTCAAAATCGTATATCGTGCTTCTGTGGGGAAGATCAGATATTTTGAATGAGCTTTCGAGACTGGAAGTTTTAAAATCAGAAATGGAGAAGAACCTTGCAGATTTTGATTCTTTAAACATGCCCTTGAAACAGCTAAAAATAAGGAGTGGGTTTATGATGCAGCTTTGAAGCCTTCCATGCCAGCTCTAACTCAGGTATCAACTAAATTTTCTTTCGGGTGATCAAAACTGAATGAGTAATTTTTTTTCTTTTTCCTTGGTAATTGGTTAGGGATAGAGCAGTTAAATCATCAAATTTGATGTCTTAGTTTCAGCAATTCATTTCCTCATATTGTGGATCAGATAAAATAACAATAATATTATTCTTAGAAACCTTGTTTCAAAGGGTATTTCCCTACCCACCAAAAATGGTTCAAACAAAATCAACACAACTTTTCGGTATTTATCCACGTACCCTGGATCCTTGGCATGAACATTTACTTTCTTTATTTTGTAAGTATGATACCCTGATCTTAATGTCTACTCGTGGCTTTCGTGTTATTCTGATCAGTTGGAATATTAGAAGTTGCTTATGAGCAACACACTATAGCGCAACTGTTTGGATTGTCTCCAATTTAAATTATAAAACTCTTGAAACAATAGAATGGATTACTTGTAGTTTGATCAATGTATGAGCTTGAATGTTATGTGGTTTTATCATCTTCTGATTTGTTTTATTTCATTATTTTTTTAAATACATGATTTTAAATCTATTGAAATTACTGCGAGAATGCATTATGAAACTAAAATTATATTTGTAGTAATCTGTGCTCACAGCAATTGAAAAAAAAAAAAAAAAAAAACTGTCTAATGACTCTTGAACGACAAATTACTTGGCAATTAGTTGTAGCCTACTGAGATTTTTTTAACAACATTCTAAGACTTGGACCTGTGAAGTCCGCAAATAGCATGTACACATTCAACTTCGGTCCAATTTGTTCTTCTTAGCTTCTTCCTCTTGACTTTCAGAATTTACCATATGAAAATTATTTTCCCTTACCATCTCCAATACTTTTTTCGTGTCATCTCGTGATTTATCTTGTACAAGCTGTAAACAAAACTGTAGTATAACAATGTTAATTTCAAGAATTATACTTTCAATACTTTACCTCAATATCAGCATTATGAATCAAGGTTTTGGAGGAATAAGTGTGGCATGAAAATTAGTACATTACCATGTTAAAAGCAGCCAAGTCATCTTCAAGGGAAGCCTCCTTAAGCTTTCTGCAAGCATGTTGATTCGCATAATATGCCATTAGAGGATTCAACAATTTGTAGGACTTGTCTACTTCTTCAAAAGGAGCACTTAACTGATAGTTAATAGTTGGAAAATGAAGTCAAATGTCTTTCATTGGTCAAAGGTCCCTCCTAACAACCTTAATGGGATATAATGACCTTTGTATTTCTCACAAATTTTCCTTACTAATAATTGTATAATCTGAAATAGTTAAGCGTTATCATCTTTTTAGAGCCTTACGACCTAAGTTAAAAAGTTGAAGCATTATTTTCCCACTTCAGACATACGTTTCACCTAAATCGTGAGGAAAAGTGGCTTGTGATAGGGAGCTCCTGCCCTGTTTGTGAAAGGGATGTTATAATTTGCAGAAATCAAACATTCATTTCAATAAAGAAATTCTTGAATTACAAAAAAATCCAACAATAATTAGGTCAATTTCTAAATTGACTACAACAATAATAAAGAAAAGACTACTAAAAAAACAGTCAATTAACAGCTTATACGAGAGTGGTTAGAGTTTCCCTCTCGATTTCATGAGATTATGGGATTGATTCTCACCCCCACCCTTGTGGCTCTCTACTTGTTTATCAGATGTTGACGAGAGCAAAACCACATTGGACGACGGCGGAAGTTGAAATCTCCAAACATGCATGATATTATCAGGCTGAATATCAGGATTCCTCATCAATACTTCATTCCATCCAGTTTTTAATACATAACTTTTTGGATAAAGTGTTCCCCATGTAGTGAAAGTAAGCGTACAAACACTAAGATCGGGTTCTATCACCATCACAGGAACATCTATCCAATTATGAAAGTGTACATGACATTGACCCACGGGCATTAACAAACGACTCTCGCTCTTATTCGTGTCGGAAATGCTTATTGTTTTTTATATCACCAACTTCGGGTTCGACCCGCCAAGTTCTTGTATCCTTTGCAAGAGCATTTCCGGAGGAGTAGCGGGTGGTATGAACGGCTGTGGTGGTGGCAGTGGCGGTGATGGAGTTCGACGATGATCAATATTATTAATCTCATAACCACGGCGTTTAGCAGAACCACGGCGTTTAGAAGTCGAAGGAATGTAGGCATCGATAGGAGAACCACGGCGTTTAGAAGGGGTAGTACGTTGTTGTTTGGAAATTGAATGAGTTGAGTTGAGATCAAAAGGGAGAGCACGTTTTTCTTGCATTGGAATATCAATATGGTGTTCTTCAACTTTAGGATTATTGATTACTTTCTTCTCTTTTTCGGATGCTTTTTCGGCAACAACAAGTAGCATTTCGAAAGGAGAAAGATTGTTGATGTTGCTTAGACCTTCGAAATCTTTCTTGCTTACAATCTCCATTACTGCTAATTTTCTCAAAAAATCACTCAAGTTTCTTAATTTATGACACTCTGTTTTTGTTTTTTTTAACGAAGAGATGGAGTGAATAGTTGATGATTATATAGAGGAAATAGATGGCAGTGATATATTTTTTCCATGTAGTTTTTATTGATAATTTTTTGTTGAACCAATGGTGAAGATTTAGGAAGATTTTGTATATTTGGAAAAATATTATTTAATTGAACACTATAAGGAATTTAGGATAGTTTCCTTAAATTTTTATCATATTTTGATTTGATGATAACAGCTATAAGATTCTACTCCGTATTATATTGAAGTGAAGATATTATAATATATTTTATTTTTTTAACCAAGTACAGATTTTATATGATTTATTTAGTTATAATGAGTAACTTTTTGGAGCCTTTTCCCTAAATAATGCTAGCAAAACACCCAATTGCCAAATTACGATTAATCTTTTATTAATTCCCATTATACCGTCCACGTAAGCTAAAAGAAATAAACCGTTTTTTTTGTTGGTTAAGCTATAAATCGCTACTTAAAATAGCGGTATATATCAGAAAACCGCCACTTGAAGTAGCGGTTTTCAAAATAGAAACCGCTACTTGAAGTAGCGGTTTATGTCAAAACAAAGTAGTGGGTTTTAACATGGAAACCAGTCGCAACTTGCAAGCTTTATTCTTGTTGTTCTTATAAGCTCACCATTATATACAATCTTCAAAATCAATGCTTATTATTTGTCAAATTTATTATGTAAAATGAAAATAAGAATAAAATTAACAAGTTAATTAGGTGAAAACAAAATTAGGGTTTATAAAATAACTCTTCATATGACCCTTAATTTACAGCAGCACCAAAACGGGGTTGGGGGGGCTAAAACGACGGCAGTAGGGTGGCAAGAAGCCAGCGGCGGTAGGGGAGGAGCACCACCAGAAAGGGTGGAGGTGTTCTTCGTAGTTGAGGCAAAAATCCTTGCTTCTTGAATAAATGGTACTATGGTAGTGGATTTTTCAAGAAACCGCTACTTGAGGTAGCGGTTTTTAGTTAGTATAAACCGCTACTTCAAGTAGCGGTTTTCCAACGTACGCCGCTACTTCAAGTAGCGGTTTTTCAATTAAATAATAAAATTCCCTTGAACCGGTGACGTGGACGGTAAAGTAGGAATATTTGTAAAAGAGACGTAATTTGGGAATTGGGTGTTTTGCTAGGTAATTAATTAGGGTTACAGTGTACGAGTAATTCGAAGTAAATAAAACCCAAAGATAATAGGAAATGCAAAAAATCTCAAGTATAAATTCTTCTTTTCTCTGTCATTTCCAACATTATTTCTGCTGAATCCATTCTCCCGGCGACAATAGCTTCTCCCACCGCATAATCGCCGTTGCGCCACCGAATTTCCGGTATTGTTGACGACGGCGAAACCATCAACTTCCGGCAGCGTTGACTGTTGTCTCGGAGTATTTCTCTTCACCGCAAAGATAAGGTTTGCATTACGCCATTCTTCCTTCTGTAATTTGAACTTCAATTGTTAAATCAATTTTGATGATTGGGTTCGTAATTCTAGGGTTTTTTAATATTGTTGCTCTTGTATTGAAATTAGCTTTAGCAATTTTTAATTTCGAAATTGCATGCTATTCTATCTGATATTTGCACTCCTATACTATGAAATAGCTCGATTAAGGGAGAAAGTACTGTAATTTTTGTTGATTGGGTTCATAATTCTAGTGTTTGACCGTTATTTGATGCTAAAAGCTGCTTGATTTTTGGAACCCTAATAAGAGTAAGATGAACCCATACCATTTTTCTACTGTATATTTGTTGTCCCATTTCAATAGGTTAATTCTATTTTCCGATATTATAAAGTCTTTACTTTCTTTGTAAGAATTTGATCATAGTTTCATAATTAGATGCTTGTTCTCATTTCTCAACAATCTTATACTTGTTAATCATCGAGGATTTGAGTGAACTTTTCTCTTAGGATTTAATCAAATGTAAACTATTATAGTTGAACGGAGGGAGTGTGATCCTACACACTTTTTATATAGGGGTATCCAGGCCCGGGTGTACCGGGCGAGCAACTGCACAGGGCCCAAAAGTTAGTAGGACCTCATATCAATTTAAGAATATAACAAATAAGCTAGCATTATTATTCAGAATCTCTGTAGGTAACTCAATGGTTAGATGTTGGAGGATATTTACAAGTGGTTCAAGGTTCGATGATTGTTGTGAGCTTCACTTTTTTTTTTTTTTTTTGGATGACACAATTATAAATTGAATGGGGGGCCCATTTATTTTTTATCGCACAGGACCTCCGTATACTTTGGGACAGCCTTGGGGGTATCACTTATGGAGTTAGGGCTAGGTGGCATAGTGATTTTGGAAATGGTATGTAGAAATGATGTAGAAGAGAATGAGAGAGATGTATGACCTTTTATTTTGGGATGATCATTGATCAATGACGTCTTAATGTACACTGTACAGAGTCAATTTCGGAACCTGGCATCATCAGCATGGAAAAATCTTTCCATTTGTAGTATTTGAGAAGAGAGACAAGAAAGGTGAGTGTCAGAGAGGGAGGAGAGGAACCTGATCGATGCCGGATCTGAACACTGGGTTGGGAAAACCTTTCATTAGAAGTTCTATCAGCCATAGGAAAATGCCTCAAAAGTCGAATTGAGATCTGCAAGTTCCGGTCAGTATGTAGGAAATGGCGCTCTTCTTTACCCCTCCCTGAAAATCCTAACCTTTTGATCAATTTCTTGCCTCAAAAAATCCCCATCTTTGATGCTAAGCTACTCCCCTTCAACGAAAAGAGTCTCCATCTGGTAGCAGTTTCAGTAATTCTTGTGCAACCCCTTGAGTTGAACTCTAATCTAAATGGTTGGATTTTGAAAGTGGAAGAAAGGCAACCTGGTAAGCTCCTAGTCTCCTACTTCTGTATCCTCTTTCAGGGGATCCCATCTTAAATTTGTCTCCGAGTTTCTGTAAATCTCTTAATCTTTTGAAATTTCGGGTCTCTGAAATTAGTAAAGGGTATCGATTTTGTGCTTGTAGTGGCTCCACATATGAACGCAAAGTTGTTTTGTGCCCAAATTCTGCTCCCACTTCACCTAACTCCGAGGATTTCACAGCTTTAGTTCTGTACTCTGGTGGATTTTTGGTTGCTTTGAGTATCAGAAATAATATTTTGGAAGTGCGTGAAATAGTAAGGGAATCTGAAGGTTCCTGGTGTAAAGATGTTATATGCTTGAAGGGAAGTTTTTATGCTGTTGGTGGTGGGGGGAAACTTTGTGCCATAGATCATGTGTCATTGAAGTTGACTGATATTGTTGCGCTATTCAGTTGGTGGAATCATGTCAAGGACTCTTTTTAGTTGTCAAAAATAAATCTAGAGTTTACTTTTAAATGATATTCAACACAAATGGGAGGCAGTGGAAACTCTGGGAGATAAGATAATGTTTCTAGATGCTGATTTGTGCTTTCTTGTGTCCACTCGAGATATTTTCCAGTCTAAAGGGGATTTTGTTGTGTTCAGCTCTGTATTTTTCTTCAGATCAGCTGAGTATATAGTAATGACTGAAAATTATTGGATTTACATATTCTGCTTAGATCATGGTGGTAAAAATGACTCACAACTCAAATCATCCAATTTGTCTTACCAGTCCATAACTCGTTTGTTGTGGCCTCCCCCTACATGGTTTTATGCCTGATTGCCTGGTAATTTTTACATTCCATTGCTCCATTTACACAATTAGTCATGCATGTACTGCGGCTTTCTGTTTATATCTAAGTTTTTTTAAAGAATAGGGTGCTCCTTGTGTAATAATAAGGATTACTTGTTAATATTGTCTTAGCCCTTTCAGTGTAGGCCTTTTGATATACAGAAAATAAATTTATCATTGGCACTGAAGGTAGAAATAGAGCAATATTTTATACAGTTAGCCTAAAATATGAAATTTAGATTCCCAATTCTTCTGCTGTGGAAATTTTTTGCCTAGTTTTTGCACAACTCCATATTTCCTCCTGATTAAGTGATTATTCATCAAATTTGAGTAGTTGAGGGCTTGAGGCTGTTAATATATTAGGGCAAACGTATTTAATTTCTTCTTATTGTTGAGGAAAAGAGAATTCAACTTCCAAGTCTTTTAATGTTTATACTTTCTAACAAGTTGGCAATATTATGCAAACAAACAGATGTATGCCATTACCGAAAGACTATTCTCTTAGGCCTGTATATGTAAGCTAAATAAGAATTGAATAGGCGCAGGCCATTACCTAACTATTCCCTGCCTTGAAGAGTATTATGACTAACAACTTTATCAATGTATTTGAGTAAACCTGCAATCAAAGTGTGGAATAAATTCTTTGATATCTGTATACTGAAATATGTAAGTCTTCTCTACAAAATAACCTGAAGTATTATGTTATTTAATTTAGCTTGTACTGTGTGGTCTCTTATAGTAAAAATCATCTATTAAATCACTTTACTTGTGTTAGTTGTGTATAAGATGTATATTGACCATGAGTAAGCTGTGCAATTGCTACCGAAACTGATTTATGTATGCTTTAATGGCTCAAATAAGCCATCTCTTTGTAAGATAGCTAGCTAAATTAAACTATTAAAGACATTTGCTAGAAGTTACTCTGAATTACTGGATGCCAAGGCCTCATTCTACTAATACATCACAGTTAGGGAGTCATTTAGTTCTTTTGGAACATCAGTTTATTTCCAGTGTTGTTTGAATTTGTTCATTATGAGTGATAAATTGCAGATGGTTTCTTAATAGATCATCTAGCTCTTTATTATTAGATTGCATGAAGCAAGGTAATTTTTGTTCATTGATTGAGCAAGATCACTTCTTAACTTATGTTGTATGGTTTCAAAAGGGATTCCAAGGAGGATGTAGAGGTGCAGCCATATGTTTCCATCCAACATTCTTCTCATAGAGCCAAGGAGGCTTTGATTTCCTTCAAAGTATCTGAAGCTTGGGAGCAAGCTGTGGTAGTTTCACCCTTAAACCCCTGTAATCGTGCTGTGGGATCAATATCTATTCAGCAACCTGTGGTCATATAATCCCTTAATCCTTCCGAGCCTGCTATGGGTAAGTGCATTTTGCATCAAAGGATTAAGCTGAAACTTGATCCCTAATTGGTTTATCCCTTTTGATTAGTTGACCTTTTATCTTTTGTTTATTTACATGATTATGTTCTGTATGTACATATGATGTGCTTTTAAGTAACTGGTATTGCCTAAATTTGGAACCAGGGAACCCAGGGGATGCTGTTATGCTGAAAATTTCTGAAGATTCTGTAGCTCAGGTAAATTGGATGTTTTTTTGCATTTCTGCTTGGTTATTGTGATCTCCTTACTTCACGGGCTTGGTGATTGACATGGTTTTGTGCAGCCTGGTGAAAAAGCAGCTACAATGGTGAAGTTTCAAGGTGTAGATATCCGGCCTGATCTCCTGCCTATATTGCAAAAGGTTTGGGAGAAGTATGAGGATGTTGAAGGGAGCAGACTACAAAGTTGTGACATTAAAGCAGCAGCATTGGAGTCTCTGGCAAAAATGATTGTAATTCTCCAAACTAACAACATGGAGTCTTTAACTGACGACCAAGCTAATTATCTTGCTTCAACCATGTCTGATTTGCAATTCATGCAGTTAAAAGTAGATTGGTTAGTTCCCTTTGTTGAAAAGGCTTTATCTCTACAAAAACAAAAGCATTTGGAGACCATTATGTTAGAGCTCGGGTTGAAGAGATGAAGCTTAAGTTTTTTGAACATATTTCTGAAGTAGAGCAAGAACTCGATGAGAACATAAAGCTTGTTTCTGATAACATGCTGATATCTGGGCCAATAGACCCAGAGGAATGGCTTGGGGAGGGACTGTGCTGATTACTGCTAATTGCTTTGTGGATTGTAATTCCATAGGATGCATGTGATATTTTGTAGACATGTAGTAGAAGCAGTTGCGGTGATGCTTCTGTACAGTTGTTTAACTGTTGGGTTTTTAATCCCTTTGCTCTTGTTGAATTGGTTAAACTTTTATGTAGCCCTGAATTTCAAACGCCAAAGAGTGCTTATTCCTGTTGCATTGGTCCAAATTAATGGGGGCTTTGGTGCAAGCTATGTTACAGATATTTTTTATTCAGTGCAAACACGATAGTGAAAAATGGAATGGCTGTGCTTTTCAGTCACCGCCAACTGCAAAGAATAATGCTTCTGCCTTATGGTGTATTTTACTTGTTTGAGTAGTGTTGGGGCCTAGCCTCATGCCCTCACCGCCTCACGTATCCACCCTTAAAGTTGATCAAAATTAGCTCCAAAGATCATTCACATTTTTCAAATTGAGGAGGCTGGCTTTGGATTTCTTGACTCGTTAATAACAATTTTGGACTATGAGTTCAATAAAATGTACCAATCTTTCTCATCATTTATAAATCAAAGCTATTGGATTTTTAGACACATAAATTTTTAATGGGCCATCACTTTCCTTACTTAAGGCTTGCGCTGCTTCGCCCAACCAGTCAAGGGTGAGTCAACCACAAGTCCACAACAATTTTGGATGTTAAAACTTAGGCCCCGTTCTTTTCACTTTAATTTTGCTGAAATGAAATTATTTAAACTGAACTGAAATTATTTTTGCTAAATTATTTTTACTGAACTTAAATTAATTTTACTGATCTGAAATTATTTTTTCTGAACTAAAATTATTTTTACTGATTTTCTATTATAATTCTTCTTTAAGAAAACTAAATATTACTGAACTGAACTTAATTTTTTACTGAACTGAAATTAATTTTACTGAATTGAACTTATTTTTACAGAACTAAAATTATTTTTACTTAATATTATTATTTTAAGGTGAAGAGAATTAGAGAACAGGGCCTTAGAAGTCATATTTTCCGGTCACAACCACAAGTCCCTAGTATTACAAAACAATTCACTCCTATAAAATTATTGTATAACTACAATTTGAAGATTCAGTGTATTTTTTTAATAAACATTTTTTGTTAAGTTATAGGTAGGAAACAAATTTTAATAAATTAGGTCAATTTGCACACTTTAATCTCCTTAAAAAAATGAGGATCAAAGAGTGGAGGGATGGTATTGGTTAGTCCCACCACTCTCCCGGTGTAATCAGGGTTCAATCCTCACCCCCACCCCTCAAATGATAAAAAGGGGCACCCTTGTATCTTATTGTAATAATAATAAAAAAATAAGTAGGATAAATTGATTTAAAGTCAACCTAACTTTAACTTTGATTTATTAAATTGTGTTGGTAATGTCGTTTTGGATTAGTTAATTTTTTTCAAACACCTAAGTTTTCAAACATTAAATCTTTCTTAAAGTTCATATTTATGCCCATTCCATCGCAGTAGGAGTGAAATGAATTTATTATGTGTCACTTTGGAATGTTGTTTAAAATTATTGTTTAATATTGTGAAATGCATTCCAGTCCTCAATTAAAAACTGTAGTATCTTTGACACTATAATGTCTTGCATTAAGTTAAGTCATTCCCTGTCTAAGTGGATGGAACAATGAGTTATTAACTTTATACTCATACAAGTATGTTTAGCTCCGGACAAACTTAAGATGATTTTTAAGTATGTTTTTTTTTCCCTTTGATTAGCTCTAAGCTAGTTGAGACGGCCCGAATTTAGGGTTGGACGAATCACTTGAATTAACTTGACAATTCATCTAGTATAAGGTAATAAGGTAAGTGATACGAGAGTTCAACCATTGAGCTATGTCAATCGAGGTCAATTAGACCCTCCGATCTTGTCTAAGTGTATACTCTAGACGACCTGACCCATGACCCGTGGAACCATATCACCCGATCAAAGTAAACTCAATTGGGCTAATGTTATTGGCATAATTTTTCTCTTTTTCCTCATCAAAATTCAAAAACTAACCCTCCAAATTTAGAGACTAAGATAATGAAAAAAGAGGACAGAGGAGCAAAAACCAGAGTTCGCCGGAAAATTGCAACAAGATGGTCGGATCTTTCACCGGAAACATTATTGAGAATCGGAAATCGCCTTGAAAGTCGACTTGACGTCAGCAGATTCCGGTCAGTATGCAAAAATTGGCGCGCTTCTTTACCTCTACCCAGAAACCCTAGTTTTTTAACCCCTTTTTTTCCTCGCCAAATCCCTAATCCAATTTCTCTTCCATTCAATAAGCAAGGTTACGATAACATTGATCTTGTTCCAATTTCTGTGTTTTTTGTTAAACGCCTTGATTGTCAGCTTGATAATGATTCCAAAGGTTGGATTTTAACTGTTGAAGAAAGGCAACCTGGTAAAATTCGTCTTCTCTATCCAATTTCGAGGGACCCCATTTCAAATTTTCCTAAGAATTTACCTAAAACCCTAAATCTTTCCGATTTTCGGGTTTCGGAGATTGGTAAAGGATGTTGTTTTAGGTCTGATAGTGGGTCAATTTCTGATTGTAAAGTTGTTGTTTACTCAGATTCTGCTCAACAATTGTATGCTACTGCTACTGATTTCACTGCTGTGGTTTTATACTCTTTAGGGAATTTGTTTGGTTTAAGATTAAATGGTGGGTTTTGGAAATTTGAAAAAATAAATTCGTTTTTATGGTTTAAGGATATAATATGCTTTAGAGGAACTTTTTATGCAGTTGCTGGGGGTGGAAAATTGTATGTTGTTGATCATTTGACATTCAAGGTGACTGATACTGTCGTTGATTGCTTCGTTTGTGCTCCTAACTGTGCAATTCAATTGGTTGAATCTTGTCAAGAACTCTTGTTAGTTGTTAAAGATGACATAAAGGTTTACAAGTTGAATGTAGTGCTACAAAAATGGGAGGCTGTGCAAACTCTAGTAGATAGAATCATGTTTTTGGGTATTGATTGTTGCTTTCTCCTCTCTACTGAAAATGTGTTATGGCATAAAGGGAATTTTATTGTTTCGAGCTCAAGTTTGAACTCGTTACGATCCAAGTGGGTAGAGTTGACGGAAAATTTTGGGATTTACATATCTTGTTTAGAAGATGTGGTAAAAAAGATACATAAGACAAACTTTGAGGCTATATCTTGTATGTTGTGGCCACCTCCAACATGGCTTCCCCCAGATACGTCTACACCCGGCAGGTAACCCTGTCTTTTGGCTTGAATTAGTCCTTTTATTATATTGCTTGATCGGGCTTTGTTGCTTTTAACATATGTTGATTCTTGGTAGTTGATAATCACTCATCAATTTGAAAGCTGTTCCCTTATAACATGCAACTTGTAGCTTGAAACTTATGAGTCATTGATGTTGTAGTGAACTTAATCCTCTCAGCTTAGACTTTTGTTTATAAAAATTAAAGAGTGGTCATGAATCTCTAAAAATGGATTATTTACAACCTAAGGTAGTTTTATCAAGAATTTTCGTTGTCTTGATGATGGAAGATAGGTTAGATTTTTCCGGCAAAATCCTTAGGATGTTGTCACCAGAGATGGATTTAGTTAGTACCATCTCCTATAATAATTAAATGCCACCAATTCATACTTTCTAGTATTGCAATAAATCTATCAATATATTGGACAACTTGGTTAATGATTTGGCCAATTCCAAAGTTTGTAGAGGGGTCTAATGGATTATTGTTGACACTTGGATTTATTTTCTATTGTTTTCAAGGGATTCTGAGAAGGATGAACATGAACAAGTGGATATCCGTAGCCTAGCTTCTCCTACCAGGCCTGAGATAGCATTCCCCGTTGTAAAAAATGAAGTTGAGGAACAGATTCCGGTTAACCAATCCCCTAATTTCCTTAGCAGTTCTACATTTGAGGAGCGAATTGTTTCTGATACAGTACACAGACATGAAAAAGGTTATCTATTGTTCGACATTGTGAATTCATGATAAAGCTTACATATTAGAATATACATATTTAAATAATACAAGTAGTTTTATATTTTTTACTTATTTTTGTTGGGGCAATATTTTCCTCCTTAGCTTTGGAACCAGAGACTCCAGAGAATAATGCTTTGTCAGGTTCTAAGGCTCCTAAAATGCAGGTATGATTAGAAATTAAGATGTTATGTTGCCTGTGGTAAACTTTCTTGCATCACTCTGCATGACACTTAAGCTATGACAATTTTGGTGCAGCATTCTTGGGAGTATGCTTCAATGTTGAAGCTCTCTGGCATAGAAGTCCGGTCTGACTTTCTGCCTGTTCTAGAAAAGATTTGGGTGAAGCATGGGGATGTTGTTGAAGGGAGTGCAATACGTAGTTGCGATACTAAAGCAACAGCATTGGAGTCTTTAGCAAAGATGGTAATAATACTCAAATCTAACTCTGGAAAGACTTTGTCTGAGGATCATGCTCATTATCTGGGTTCCACCTTATCTGATCTCAACTGATGCACCTGAAAATAGATTGGTTGGTTCCGTTTGTAGAGAAGGCTTTGGCATTGCGTAAAAGAATGCAATTGGAGGCTGTTCTTATGGAGATTGACAAGGTTACAGTCGTGGCCAACGCTATTGAACATAATTTTCTTGAAAAGATTGCTGAAGTGAAGCAAGTGCTTGAAAGGGATAAAAAGATTGTTTTTGATAGCATGTCTGTGTTTGGGCCAATAGAGCAGGAACAATGCCTAGGCAAAGATTTATGCTGATTTCTGACTTTGTAAATGATACTTTCAGATATTCATATATCAATTTTTGGAGTCGAGTAGCAGACAAAGCACAGCAGAACTGAAGGCATTTCATGTGTTCTGCTGCTCTTGCATACTTTTGTTAAGGAGGTTTAATTTTTGCTCCTGCTAAATGTAATGATATTTCTGCTAGTTCTATGAAGCATGGAGTAGTTAAATGTTTGGAGATGAATTTGCTTGAATTTAGTTTGTTTCATCATCAGATCTTGTTGGTGATTCCACAATTCCATTGTATTTTCCACTTGCATGTTTTGCTTCAAACATTTATTCCTTGCCATTGCTATGTATCCAGTTGATAACTTGATATAAAGCCTATAATTTTAAGTTAATTTAATATATTTTTGGAAAATTTGTCAGAAAAAACCTTTTAAATGCCTCATTTTGCAAGAAAAAACCTTTTAAAGCATTCTTTGTTAAAAAAACCACCACGATCACTTTTTTTTGTTGAATGAAACTTGGGCCTTCTTATCCGGCATTGACTAACACTTTCAGGTGTTGACTCACTTCTTTTACTTCTTGCTGCCACTTGTTTTGATAATTGCACTCCCCCTATTACTTGTTCCCTTTATTTTCCCTCCAATGTATTTCCTCTCTATTCTCTCTCTCCTTTCCTCCATGAATGCTCTACAACACTATCACATCAAATTGGGTTTTTCTATCTCTCTCTCAACTCACCATAAATACTTTAACAATAACTTGAGGTAAGTGTTAAGTAATTAGTTCTATACTTGAAATTCGCCCAAAAAAATTGGGGTTTTTTGTAGACAAGCAAACGAACTCATTTGACGAAGAAAGACAGTGCTTGGACGCAAAACAATGTTTCCCCAATTACGTAGTGAAGTACAAACCCAGCTATGTTCTTCATTTGCTCAATTTGTGTATAAATTGTTAGGTTTTATCACCAAAAATTGACATAAAACAAACATAATTAACCTAATTGTTGTTGGTTGTTTGATGATTTTGAGTTGTGATGGGTTAAATAATACATGCAAATTGGTTTGCATTGCAGAAAATTTTGTTTGGAATTGTGAAATTGTTGCCCTGGATTGTTGAATTTCTGGAAATTTGTTTTTATTGGTGTGAGAATGAGGGGAAAAACGTAAATGTAGGTTGCAAGTAGGAAAAGAAGTGTGTCAACGTCTGAAAGTGTTAGTCAACGCCGGAAAAGAAGGCTCGGGTTTCATTTAACAAAAAAAATGATCGTGCTGGTTTGTTTTAACAAAGAATTCTTTAAAAAGTTTTTTCTTGCAAAATGAGGCATTTAAAAGGTTTTTTCTGACAAATTTTCCTATATTTTTTCCCTAATTGTTACTAATAGTTATGGTTGCCATGATGGTACAGCAACTTACCTTCGTGTCCAGCAAAGGTTCAATTTGCACTATTTTTTTTGCACTATTTGATCCATACTTTATTTTTTTTTTCGCACTATTTTCGTTACTTACATGGCTACACTTTGAAATTATCCAATATGCCTTTAAACAGTCAATTTGTCCGATTACAACTTGCACTAATTAAATAAAATCAAGCTACACCACGGACATTTATGAAAACATATAATGGTCATATATGGTTCCAAACGTCATTATATGACCCTGAGATGTATCCCCTAGGATCTCAACACTTTTCGCCACCAGGCCCCGCAACTTCCAAAATTCCTCAAAAAACGTGGATGCCTTCAATTTTGGAATTTTTTGACCTTTTTTGCCCGGAAAAAAAAATTGCCGAGATGTTTACCATGGTCCCTAATATCCTCTGGGAGCCAATTTGGGTAGATAACACCATCCAATATGCCTTTAAACAGTCAATTTACCCGATTATAACTTGCACTAATTAAATAAAATCAAGCTACACCACAGACATTTATGAAAACATATAATGGTCATGTATGGTTCCAAACGTCATTATATGACCCTGAGATGTATCCCCTAGGATCTCAACACATTTCGCCACCGGGCCCCTTAACTTCCAAAATTCCTCAAAAAGCGTGGATAATAGCCTTCAATTTTGGAATTTTTTGACCTTTTTTTGCCCAGAAATAAAAATTGCCGAGATATTAACCATGGTCCCTAATACCCTCCGGGAGCTCATTTGGGTGGATTAAACCATTCAATATTCCTTTAAACATTCAATTTACCCGATTACAACTTGCACTAATTAAATAAAATCAAGCTACACCACGGACATTTATGAAAAAATATAATGGTCATATATGGTTCCAAACGTCTTTATATGACCCTAAGATGTATCGCCTAGTATCTCAAAACTTTTCACCATCGGGCCTCGTAACTTCCAAAATTTCTCAAAAAGCGTGGATAATAGGCTTCAATTTTGGAATTTTTTGACCTTTTTTCGCCCGGAAATAAAAATTGCCGAGATGTTTACCATGGTCCCTAATATCCTCCGGGATCCCATTTGGGTGGATAACACCATCCAATATGCCTTTAAACAGTCAATTTACCCGATTACAACTTGCACTAATTAAATAAAATCAAACTTCACCACGGACATTTATGAAAACATATAATGATCATATATGGTTCCAAACATCATTATATGACCCTAAGATGTTTCCCCTTGGATCTCAACACTTTTCGCCACCAGGCCCCGCAACTTCCAAAATTTCTCTAAAAGCGTGGATAACAGCTTTCAATTTTGGAATTTTTTTTGACCATTTTCACCCAAAAATAAAAATTGTCGAGATGTTTACCATGGTCCCTAAAACCCAAGAGCCCTTTAGGATGGATACAACCATTCAATGTGCCCTTAAACAGTCAATTTACCCAATTACAACTAGCACTAATTAAATAAAATCAAGCTACACCACGGACATTTATGACAACATATAATGGTCATATATGGTTCCAAATGTCATTATATGACCCTAAGATGTATCCCCTAGGATCTAAACACTTTTCGCCACCAAGCCCCGGAACTTCCAAAATTTCTCAAAAAGTGTGGATAATAGGCTTCAATTTTGGAATATTTTTACCATTTTTCACCCGGAAATAAAAATTGCCGATATGTTTACCATGGTCCCTAATTCCCTCTGGGAGCCCATTTGGGTGGATAAAACCATCCAATATGCCTTTAAACAGTCAATTTACCCGATTACAACTTGCACTAATTAAATAAAATCAAGCTACACCACAGACATTTATGAAAAAATATATTGGTCATATATGGTTCTAAACGTCATTATATGACCCTAAGATGTATCCCCTGGGACCTCAACACTTTTCGCCACCGGGCCCATTAACTTCCAAAATTTCTCAGAAATCGTGGATAAATAGGCTTCATTTTAAGAATTTTTTGACCTTTTTTTGCCCAGAAATCAAAATTGCCGAGATGTTTACCATGGTCCCTAATATCCTCCGGGAGCCCATTTGGTGGATAAAACCAACCAATCTGCCTTTAAACAGTCAATTTACCCGATTACAATTTGCACTAATTAAATAAAATCAAACTTCACCACGGACATTTATGAAAACATATAATGGTCATATATGGTTCCAAACGTTATTATATGACCCTAAGATGTATCCCCTGTGATTTCAACACTTTTCTCCACCGGGCCCCGTAACTTCCAAAATTTCTCAAAAAACGTGGATAATAGGCTTCAGTTTTTGAAATTTTAGACCTTATTTCGCCCAGAAAATTAAAATTGCCGAGATGTTTACCATGGTCCCTATTACCCTCCGGGATCCCATTTGGGTAGATAACACCATCCAATATGTCTTTCAACAGTCAATTTACCCGATTACAACTTGCACTAATTAAATAAAATCAAGCTACATCACGGACATTTATGAAAAAATGTAATGGTTATATATGTTTCCAAACGTCATTATATGACCCTAAAATGTACATCCTATAATCTCAAGACTTTTCGCCACCGTGCCCCGTAACTTCCAAAATTTCCTCAAAAGCGTGGATAATAGCCTTCAATTTTGGAATTTTTTGACCTTTTTTCGCTCGGAAATAAAAATCGCCGAGATGTTTACCATGGTCCCTAATATCCTCCGGGAGCCCATTTGGGTGGATAAAACCATCCAATATGCCTTTAAACAGTCAATTTACCCAATTACAACTTGCACTAATTAAATAAAATCAAGCTACACCATGGACATTTATGAAAACATATAATGGTCATATATGATTCCAAACGTCTTTATATGATCCTAAGAAGTATCCCCTGGAATCTCAACAGTTTTCGCCAACGGTCCCCGTAACTTCCAAAATTTCTCAAAAAGCATTGATAATAGGCTTCAATTTTGGAATTTTTTGACCTTTTTTCGCCCAAAAAAAAAAATTGCCGAGATGTTTACCATTGTCCCTAATATCCTCCGAGAGCCCAATTGGTTGGATAACACCATCCAATATGCCTTTAAATAGTCAATCTACCCGATTACTACTTGCACTAATTAAATAAAATCAAGCTACACCACGGACATTTAAGAAAACATATAATGGTCATATATGGTTCCAAACGCCATTATATTACCCTAAGATATTTCTCCTGGGATCTCAACACTTTTCGCCACCGGACCCCGTAACTTCCAAAATTTCTCTAAAAGCGTGGATAACAGCCTTCAATTTTGGAAATTTTTGACCTTTTTTCGTCCAGAAATAAAAATTACCGAGATGTTTACCATGATCCCTAAAAACCTCCGAGAGCCCATTTGGGTGGATAAAACCATTCAATATTACTTTAAACAATCAATTTACCTGATTACAACTTGCACTAATTAAATAAATTCAAGCTACACCACGGACAATTAAATAAAATCAAGCTACACATCGTACATTAATGACAACATATAATGTTCATATATGGTTCCAAACGTCATTATATGACCCTAAGATGTATCCCCTAGGATCTCAACACTTTTCGCTGCAGGGCCCCGTAACTTCCAAAATTTCTCAAAAATCGAGGATAATAGGCTTTAATTTTGGAATTTTTTTGACCTTTTTTCGCCCGGAAATAAAAATTGTCGAGATGATTACCATGGTCCCTAATATACTCTGGAAACCCATTTGGGTGGATAACACCATCCAATATGCCTTTAAACAATCAATTTATCTGATTATAACTAGCACTAATTAAATAAAATCAAGCTACACCACGGACATTTATGAAAACATATAATGGTCATACATGGTTTCAAACGTCATTATATGACCCTAAGATGTATCCCCTGTGATCTCAACACTTTTCGCCACTGGCCTCCGTAACTTCCAAAATTTCTCTAAAAGCGTGAATAATAGCTTTCAATTTTGAAATTTTTTGACCTTTTTTGGCCTGGAAA